AAACAAGTTTGTTTATTTTCCTTTTTTTTCTTTTTATTCCAAACTTTCTAAACTAAAGGCATCATATTTAAACTTTGAAATATATTTTCTTTTATTTGTGCCAAACAGTGTCTAAGTAGTAAGTAATGACTTTCTATGACTGTGAAATACAGTTGTAGGTCTCCTTTTTATCCACACGATGGCAGTGTTTGCCAATGTCGTTTGATTTGTGCCTTTGTTTCTGCTCAACACTCAGTTGCCAGGCTTTTTGAAGAAGAAGAAGTGAGTTCTGCACAAAACAAAAATACACATGCTGACGACCTGTGTGTGTGTTCACAGCTGGCCCTCAGTCGCAGCCCACCAGAGTCTGAAATCTTCGTGTTCACTGACGCTTCTCCCAAAGACGCTCATCTCTTTGATGCTGTGAAGGCGCTCGCACTTGAGAAACGGAGCAAGGTGGGTTCAACTTTAAAGAAGAGACTTAAAAAAAAAAATCCCAGCAATGGAAGCGTTATTGAGATCAACAGATAAGTAAATGTATAACAAGTAAAATATTTTTACTCTTTATAAAAAAATTATTAATATCTGACTTCATTATATGTGGGGAAAAAATCTATTATTATTAAATGTGTGTTGTTGTTTTTTTTTTAATAATTTGACCTGTTGCTCAAAATCATTCAGCAGATTTGACACTGTCAGAGACAATATGATTGGTTGAAAATTAAATGGCTGTCCTGGGAAGCCAATCAAATGTTAGGAACAATATAAAGCGCAAAAAAATCCAAATAAATACCGAAAAAAATAGTTCGTGATTATTAAATAATTTAAATATTTCAGTATTTGTACAATTAAAATATATTTAAATAATTATGGAAATATCAGTATTTACATTTATGAGCCACATTATTTCATTTTTTTAATGCTGTGTAGGCCTTGAACAACAAGGCATACACACTGAAAACACAAGCAGACAGCTACAAAGGAAGAGGTATTTGTGTTCAGCTTTGTGGTTGGACTTTCTGCAGATAACATTTCTCCTCACTGAAGAGCAGACACAGAAAAGCAGCAGTAGGAGGAAGAGAAGCAGTAAGAAACCTCTGTCCCCCGATCGCTTCTCTCTCTACTCCTCCCTGTCGCTCGTGTCAGGAGGAATGGCTGTATTCACCACCAACTCTGACATCCACAAGGTCTCCACCATAGTGGAGGACAACACTGCTGTGGACAAGGTAAATAGTTAACTCCATATTTTTTTTTAAACATATCACTCTTCCAGCTGTGAATCAAAGCTGCATACCAAACCACTCTCTTCTTCTCAGGTGACCCTCTTCCGTGCAAAAAGTGATCCAGAGTTAATGTCTGTGCATTCCTTCAGAGTTGACAGCTCAGTAGAAAACATCATCCTACACATAACGGGCACCATGTCTGAGTGTATCCTCACCAGTCCGTCAGGTAATGTTTGCACGGTTTCCAAAAGTGTATCATCCAATGCAATGTCAGGAGAACGTATCTGAATATGGAGTTCTATGTCAAGAAGCATATTTTTCTTCTCTTTCTGAGTTAAAAGTCCACACAGTTCACCACTACCTTCTTAGAATTCCTTTTGAATAAATAAATATGTAAAATGTTATTTATGTAGGGCCTTTCAAGCTATAGGTCACAGAGTTGTCCACAAAAAACATCAAAGCCATTAGACATAAGTACATTGAATAGTTAATTAAAAGCTATTGTAAAACAAGCTTTTTAAACTCATAGGGGAGAGGGTTGCAGAGTCCTGTAACGTTGCTGAGAAGGTTTTGTCACTTCTAGTTTCCAGCGTTGTATGTGGCACAACCAGCAGACAGTGCTCACATAATCTTAGGGATCTGCTAGAAAGTCCCAACATACATTCTCGTGATTGGCCATTCAAAGCCCGAGATCCTAAAGTGTACCCTGAGGAGTCAGTGCAGGGGGGTGAGTGGTGGTGCGATGTGACAAAACTTCTGTGGTTTGGTCTGCAGTCTGGCTGCTGTGTTCTGTTCAATCTGAAGATGGCTGAGTAACCTGTTAATGTCTTCTCAATTTTCAGACAAAAGACAATCCATACTGAGAGAGCAAGGCCATCTAGCAGAGTTGGAGCACTTCCAGGGTTTTTATCGTATCAAACTCTTGCCTCCTGTTCAGGCTGGTCAATGGAAGCTGCAAGCCAAGAGTGACGATCACCTAACCTTCACTGTGATAGGTAAACAAAAACATATCTACAGTATGTTTTAACATGACCGGAAGTGAAAGGTCAGTCTAAGAAATCTTTGTTTTCTGATTCATACTACCAGGTGACAGCAGTGTAGACTTCCTGTACTACTTTGCCACTGTGACTAATAATACACACCCAGGTCTGGCCAGAGTGGAGGGCAGTCCTGTGGCAGGTGAAGCTTTGTTTATTTACTGGGTGTTAATGTGTCTCTTTCAAAATTCTGCTACTTTAATGTGTGGTTACCATACATTATATATACATATATATTTCAGGTGCCCCAGCCTTCCTGGTGCTCACAGTGACGGGCCAATCTTCCCCTCCAGAGGGGTCGTTTTACGCGACGCTGCTTGGTGCTGAAGGAGAGAGTCTTCAGGAAGTGAAGCTGAATCAGTCTTCCTCTGTGCCCGCCCATGGCTTGGAGGAGCTTGTGGGCTTCGTGGACTACGTCCCCACAGTTCCCTTCAGTGTTCAACTTGCAGGCTTGGACAGCAGAGGGAAGAAGCTGGAGAGAGTTTCCACAGAGAAGATTCAGCCCACTCACGTTCAGATAAAGGTTAAAAAAAGGGTTATTTTTAATCAATTTGGTATAGCTGAGTTGATTTTCACTTGTTTCCATGCTTGTCTCAATCTAAGTTAGTGCTAATCTCAGACAAATGTTCAGAAAATTCCTGCTTGTTTTCAAAAACAGCATATTTTAAAGTGAGTGTAAAAAAACAATCAAGAGTTCAAGTGTAGAATAATTCAGTTTTTGTTTGACCAGTCACACAAAAATTCAAGGTTATCAAAACTTGCCAAGATTCCATAACACACACTAAAATAACCTTTTAATTTGAAGCCGATCTAGGGACCTTTTCTAGCCATAACCAAATAACTGGACATGTAAATAAACATGTCCAGTTTTGTCCATTTACAGTAATTTAGCTCTATAGTTTTAATAGTTCACTTATCACTTTGTGCATCTCAATCTCCTCAGATGATGTCGACCCCCCAGCTCGTACCAGGCCACCACACAGTGGTGAGCTTCACCATCTACAACCACGGTCCTGCTCAACTTTTTAATATAACAGCTGACGATGACTGGGGTTATCTTCTGACGAGGGGGCCACACAGGTACGCAGACAGAATAGAAATGAATCTGCTGAAGGGATATTCTTTAACTCTATGTTAGAAATTGTCACTCACGTTAATGCAAATTTGGGCTTTTTGTTAATCAGGTTGTTTGTTAAGGAACAAGGCTCTTCCGATGCAGAGGTGAGCCTCCTCACTCCTGCCACGGCTCAGGCTGGAGCGACTGTGACGCTCACGCTCACTGTTCACGCACTGAACTCACTGGAATCAAACTATGCAGTGGCATTTTTAACTGTGGTCCCTTTGGTGAGCAAAAGAAAGTATTTGATTCATATACTTTGATTCTCCTAAGAGGAGGAGTCTGTTAGTACAGACTCCTCCTTGACTGGTCATTGCCATTGCTTTCTGACAGGATGCTGACAGATCTCCACCGTCTTGCTCTGCTGCATGGATCCAGTCTGACTGTCCGGCGGATTGCACCAAGTCCAGCTGGAGAGTGTCTCTGGTCGTGTCTGATGATGTCCACTCTGGCCTCGCTGCCCTCCAGATGCAGAAAGGCGGCGGTGTTTTGACAGTTTTCATCAAGCCGCCACCCATGGAGGACAGCTTTGAGGAGGCCCTGCCCGACCTGGAGCATCAACGCCCACACAAAAACAAAACAACCGGCCACCATCGGCATCACCACCACCGCACAGCCAGGTTACGGACAGGGGAGTCCCCTCTGAACGTGTCTGAGTGGAGACTGGCTTCATCGCAGCCCCTGTGGGTCGTGTACACGTCCAGCTGCTGCTCGGCTCAAGCCGAGCTGCTGGTGTGGGACAAAGCTGGAAATATGAAGCGCTGTATTCTGACTTCTGACCAGCAGAGGGGACAGAGTGACACGACCACAGAAACCAGTGGAACCGGACGAGCAGCACTGACGGGCATCGTTTTCCTGTTGGTGGGCCTGCTGTGGTCCCCTCTGATGTAGATCTATGTAATTACAAATGTTTTGCGGCTAGCTTCAAATAAATAAAAGTATTCAAATAAATGCTGATAATGCTTTAATGTGAAACGAATAATTATAAAATGCACCAAAGCACCAAATTATAACTTTCCTAATAGGATATGAAAATTTTTTAAAAGTACTAGATGGTACATTTTAGTGAGAGAAGTATAAGGTAGCAGTTCGAAGCAGGAAGATGGAGAAAGATAAATAATTTTAGAACCTCCCACACCTATTGGCACCACTGGTAAAGATGTGTAAAAAGCCTCCAAATACATGAATCCTTTGTTGCGACAGCATGATCTCTCACCGCAAACTTCTAATGAACGTAATATTTCATTTGAACACACTTATTTAGTGCAACAGGAAAAAATAATGCTTAATAATTACCTTTCAGAACGTTCCTGGTTTCACACTTATTGACACCTCTCCTGTTAATTCTTTGAACAGCTCTCTTTTACCACTAGAACTTAATGGTCTCTTTTTACATGTAAAGTTATTGGAGCCCACTGAGCAAGGGAGATATTTCTCCATTCCTCTTTCTACAGTGTCTCTAACATTCAGATGTGTATTTTCTTCCCTTCAGTTCACTCCACAAATGTTCTCAATTACCTAGCTTTGGGGACTGAGATGGTGATGGAGCTTTTGCTTTCTTTCTGTTAAACCTTTTTTTTTGATTTGGCTATTTTGACAGCTATCCTGTCAAAAACCCAACAATTACTGATCGTTGCGTTCAGTAATCCCAACGATCAGTTGGGTCTCAGAAATGCTCAGGTGTTTCAACGAGCCACACACTCCAAAAAGACTTTACACACCTTTAGGATGGAAACAGGTTCACAGCATCACAGATCATCAAAATTCACAAGATAAACTAAACTTCAAAGTAATTACCTTTCTGTGTGTTTGGTTAATATTGTTATGGAGTGAAAGGTGGCTAATAAAAACAAATCACACCATACTCCCTAACCCCCACCCACTGAGAACAAAGCATATTTATACTCAAATCTGTCCGTGGATGTGGTTCTCAATCAGTCCAGTTCGTCCTTTGGTTAATGCAGATCTCTTGACTCGCATTTTGCTGCAGTACATTCCCTTGTGCAAAACAGCTAGAGCAACATAATTATTAACTATTAGCATAATTTTATCCCCCTACAGTATCTTTTCACATCACTAATTCTCTTTGAAGGCAAAGCAGATCCATCCATCCAATATAACAAAAGGATTTATGAGTTCTCTATCTGGAATTAAAAGCCATTGCTACCAATCTCAATGGGCCCACCTGTTGAAGTGTGTTGAAATGAATGGGCAATATTTTAAGCAGCGCGTTTCACTGTCCCATTCCTAATTTACATCTGTTTCACAGTTGTCAAGACCTCTACGACGAGCTCTGTAAACAAAACATCGCCGACAGCTTGGAAATAATTTACAATTTCACTGAAAACTGATTAACTGCCCATACAGTTGTTTATTACATGTCTGTGCTACATAGAAAGACAACCAGACACACAGTTCAGAGATCAAGAGAAACTCTGGGTCTAGACCAAACCCGTTGGCATGTTGAATGAAAAGTGTGGCCAGAAAGAGCTTCCACCAGAGGTGGAGGAGAGAGGACACTGGGGAAGCAAGGTGGAGTTTCTCCTGGCCGTAGCTGGAAATGTTGTCGGCCTCGGCAACGTCTGGAGGTTCCCGTACCTCTGCTACAAAAACGGAGGGGGTAAGGCGATGCTAGATTTAAACTGATAATCATGGCTTTACTCTACGATAAGAAAACCTGAAGAAAATTAATACTGAAATCAGTCTGGTCAGCAGCCCGAATTTAAATAATATACAGTATATATAGGTTTTTATAAATTAAAGCCGAGATGAGATGAGATGCATCAGTCAGCTAAATAACAATTTTACAAAAAGTATATTATGCAAAGCTGTAAATTTGGGGATAAAAACTGTATTTGTTTCCCACTGCAAATACCAGAGTAATGAGCTCTATGAAGGGTAAAATAAAACAGGAGATTTGTTCCATGTTTTCTGGGGATTTAAGTGTTTTAAAAGACTTTTTCTTGTCAACTTGAGGTGATGTCTTCAAATCATCCCTGTGAGACTCTCGTAGTTTTAGGGATTGATTGAAACCACGTGAGCAGATTAACTGAAAGTAAATAAATAATGAAAAAATGTCTAGGATGTTCCGATTTGTTCAAACAAAGAGTCAAAGTGCAACATTCCTGTTCTCAGGACCAATTGATGATTGTCGAAACGGTCGAAACATTTATTGATTTTAACTCAAGGTTCAAATTCTTCCAGGAGAACATTATCCTTCATGGAAACTTAAAATATTAAAACCTTCCCAAGAAATCTTGTGGTATTACTCTATTTAGGGATGTAACCTTTCAGTAATGAGAAACAAGTTGGGAGAATGATCTGCAGACTATGCTCCAGTGGATCCAATGTCAGTGGCTCACCTTTGATTTTATAAATGGTTTTCTGCATTGTTATATTCTAAATATCTTAGGACATTATTTTACTTTACTTTTCTGCCATTAAAACATTTAAGGAGTTGTGTCTTTCTATATTTCCTCATGTTTTAAACGCAAACTTTAGCATATTATGTCAGGATTTTAGTTGAGACGCCAACACAAACAAGTGCATAGTTGAGAAATGGAAGAAATATGATGCAAGGTTTCCTTCCTCTTCACAATGATGCACTATTTTATGTTGGTCTTTCACATGAAATCCTAATAAAAGTCATACGTTGTTGATTGCAACATGGGAAACTGTAAAAAAAAAAATAAATTCTACTATTCAAAAAACATCAAGAAAATGGTTCCAGTACAATGCAAATATCAGAATCTAGTGTCTTAATTTGTTGTTTTGATCCTCTCAGCCAAGTAGCTGATTATTTTTGTAAATATCAGGTGCATTCTTGGTGCCATATCTGGTTTTTGTGGTGACCTGTGGCGTACCTCTGTTCCTGCTGGAAACAACCATGGGCCAGTACACCCAGGAGGGGGGCATCACCTGCTGGAGGAAGCTGTGTCCGCTAGCAGAAGGTAAGCCCTGCAGGACTTTACTCTTTGGAAACAGAGAAAGTAAAACATCATGAACAACTCACTGATAAGGTCAAAATATAAAATGGATGGTTCTCCTGCAAATAGAAGCTTAGAGTCACAGCAGCAAATTTAGAAATATTTAATCAAATCTTAAAGGAGCCCTTTCAGATTGTTTGCCTGCACTTGTCAAATGCTAACAAGATTGCTGATGTGTAGGACTTTCCTGAGGGTTCAAACATTAACCTGATTTAAACAGTTTTCTAACTTTACTTTTGTGTCTAAGTGGAATATCTCACTTCAGGCACTGGATAAATCGAGGCTTTTGTTGTTTTCTGTTCTGCAGGTATAGGCTTTGGAGGACAGCTGATCCTCTTCTACAGCTGCATGACGTACATCATTATTCTGTCCTGGGCTTTGCTCTATTTCATCTTCTCCTTCAGCTCCCAGCTCCCCTGGGCCAGTTGCAACAACTACTGGAACACAGGTTGCATGCAAATGTGTTAAAAATGTTCCTTGCCGTCAGACGCAACATAATCACAGAAGCATAGAGACAGACCTTTTTCACCACCATCTTTTTCAGAGGACTGTGTGGACTTTTCAACAAACAGCACCTCCAAGTGGACCAACGGGACTAATTCCACCTCAGCGGCCACAGAATTCTGGGAGTAAGTAAAGCTAAGGAAGCTGCTCAGCTACTTATGAGGCCGATACGAAATGCGTTTTTGATTTTTAGACGGCGTGTCCTGGCTATCTCAGGGGGAATTGAGGAGGTGGGCAGCATCAGGTGGGAGGTGCTGTTGTGCTTGATTGTAATGTGGATCATCTGCTACTTCTGCATCTGGAAAGGAGTCAAGTCCACAGGAAAGGTTAGATGATCCTTTTTTACAGAATCACTGGTGCTGCATTTATAAGCAGAAAAAAGTCTAAAATACATGTAGTTTTAGCTTAATATTTTTAGTTTTTCAGAACGTGTACGAAGCTTCAGTTGTTGATCCATGCCCTCTAATTACCTTTGGATATAAATAATATGTCACTCAGAAGACTGTTTTCTGTAGTCAGCATTTGAAATGGAAGAATTTGTTTTAAAACCACACACAGTGAGGGTAAAGGAGTGGTACAGGAGCTAAACAAGCCACTCCAACACAGAATGGTATCTTATGGTCACCATGACAACCGGTAGAAACAAAAGCCAGTGGTTTGAAGTACATGGCAGGTAAGAAAAATAAGGAAATTTTTTCTGAACATCACATAAACGTGCAAATTGTTCCACATTCACTGTTGTGCTTAGACAATACCAAGAATGATTTTTCAGAATGCAGAAAAAAAAATCTACTCAACCTGACTTAACTTTTATCAGAATTTCAGTGAAATTATGCCACAGCTTATTGCTACCACATAATACACATGACTGTCAAAGATGCCAAAAATGTAGAAGGTGCTATTCAAAGTTTGGCTTTAAATTGTCAGCTTATGTTTCCCCTTTTTTCAGGTGGTGTACTTCACTGCCACCTTCCCGTATGTCATGTTGGTAATCCTTTTGATCCGAGGACTGACTCTTCCCGGCGCTCTTGAAGGAGTCCTTTATTATCTTCTTCCTGAACCGTCACGACTCACTGACCCTCAGGTAGGCTCTGAGGGACGAAAGACTGAAGAAAAGCTGAGTTTTGAGACAAACGTGGCCACTGATGCTGTTGTTGGGGCAGGTGTGGATGGAGGCCGGCGCACAGATCTTCTTCTCCTACAGTGTTGGGGTCGGCTCTATAACCGTATTGGGCAGCTACAACAAACACAATAACAACTGCTACAGGTAGAACAGCTTGTTGGTGCCTATAGGCATTCTGCATCTCTGCTGAAGTATATTATCCATGTATCAAGTACAATGAATGTGGCATTGCTCTGTTTTGTTAGGGACTGCCTGTGGCTGTGTTTCCTGAACAGTGGCACCAGTGTTGTAGCTGGGTTCGCCGTGTTCTCTGTGCTGGGTTTCATGGCTCATCAGCAAGGCATTCCCATTGCAGAGGTGGCCGAGTCAGGTGCATATTTACACATTTTCAGACATACGTAACGTCATCCTTATGGAAGTTCTGTGGGGATGTTTTTTCTCTTTTATTTTTAGCAGGGACAGGAAACCTGGGCAGAGTTGATGGAAAAATGGACGGGGCTGATTTCAGGGCAATCCTCAAAGAAACTTGATAGTGACTGCAAAAACTTAGAGACTAAGTTTCACCTTCTCGGCTGGACAAAATCCCTGCAGCCTGAATCATTATAGAATGGTTGACTCTACATATTGTTGATTAAATACAAATATTGTGCAAGTTATATTTAGCATGTTTTTATTTTCAAAACTCAAAATGAGAACCTTTCCCAGGTTTTCTTCCACCCCTCACAGTTACTCACCCACCGGCGTTGATCCGTGACATAAAACCCCAATTGGTTGTGGTTGTAACATGACAACATTCCAAATTGATCTTACATGAAGGACTGAAACTTTCACTGTTTCCAGGAAGCAAATGTCATTGCCCTAAACAATTAAGTTCTGTTGGAAAAAAAGAAAAAAAAATGTCTTTGCAAAAATTTCTGTTTATTCGTTTTATAAAACTCCACAGTGTTATTAGTTTGGTTTTTACCTGGTAGGGCAGTTAATGGATTAATTAAAGCATATTAAAAGAAGGAGATTATTAAATCATCACTTTGACTTTGTTTTCCAGGTCCAGGCCTGGCATTCATCGCATACCCTCAGGCGGTGGCCATGATGCCTCTGCCCCAGCTCTGGTCCATCTGCTTCTTCGTCATGCTCATCCTCTTGGGTCTGGACACACAAGTAAGCTGCTCAGGCAACTGAAGGAGGATCATAAGTATTCATCTAAACATGTAATTCTGTTATTGCCTGCTCTCTGCTCAGTTTGTCGCCATGGAGGTGGTGATGACGTCCATCATTGACATGTTTCCCAGAGCTTTGCGACGGGCAGGACGCCGGGAGATCTTCCTCCTGTTCTTCTGTCTGAGTTGCTTCCTCTCTCAACTCGTCATGATCACCGAAGTCTGTGTTCAACGTTAAAACTTTAATGTTTTATACCTTTCAATACTGAATCGTTCTTCTGCAATTGTTTTTGTCACAAGTGTGAGGTCAACACTTGGAAGAAATCGTCTTTCATACATCTAAAATAAGAAAGTGATTTTCTTTTTTTTCTTTTTTTTTGCTGTTGTTCCAAGGGGGGGATGTTTGTGTTCCAGCTGTTTGACTACTACGCATGCAATGGAGCCTGCATCCTCTTCCTCTGTGTGTTTGAAACTCTGTCCATGGGCTGGGTGTTCGGTACGTACACTGATGCGATGGATGTTTTAATGTGTTTAAATTGTCAAAATTGGAAAGCTCTGATATGGAGAGATTGTGCAGTGATGACAGGTCAAAGTTCCCTCTTTCTCACAATATCTTTTGTGTAATTCAATAGGAGACTAGAAGATGTTCTATTGGCAAAAGAAGGATATACAAACAAAATATTGTGGACCACCTGATTTCATATAAAAAGTATTTTTCAACCTTGCTGTCTCACTGCAAAAGATTACACAGATTGAAGGTTGGACTTATAGTGATTATTTCAAATTATGCTACTGCAATGCAAGATTAAATAGTTTGACTTTAGTTGGGGTCTTAATAATTGTAAAATGTTATTTACACATTGTAAACCTATAAAAGAAATGACTGATTAACTGTTAAATGTTACAACACGACTTTCAAACAAGTGCAATACAGTCTCATCAATATGTAATTATTTAGGGGCAGATCGGTTGTATGGCATCATAGAGGATATGACAGGGATGAAGGCCAATCCTTTCTTCAAAATCTGCTGGCTTTACCTCACACCACTGGTCTCGCTGGTGAGCCACCTGTCTCTCTGTCAGAGTGCTTTTGGTCACTGGATCAGATGTGAACTGTTGAATTCAGCAATTATTTATTCTTAATTTCAAACCAGAGTCTAACTAACCCAATCTTGTTTGCCCTTGCAGGGATCTTTCATATGTTCCTTAGTCGAGTATCAGCCTCTGACCTTTAATCGCTGGTACGTCTACCCGTCCTGGGCTTACGTGTTGGGCTGGGTGCTGGCACTCTCCTCCATCCTGCTTGTGCCTGGGTGGGCACTTTATAAGATGATGACCGCAAGCGGCACACCTAGGCAGGTGAGAAAGCATAGCAATGTTTTATTCAAATTACATTTAAGATTTTTTTTTTATTATTGTAAAGAAAACACAGCATTTAATTTCCAAACTGTGGAGAAATTCTGCTAGGATTTGGAGAGTACTGATGAAATGAAAATGAATGCCACAAAAGTTTATGAAGAAGTGTCAGATAACTTTTTACAGATTTACATCTCCTGTAGATGCTGATAACCCTGATTAAAAACATGTTAGATAAAGGATATCTCTACATTCCTATTCTGTAAAGTTACATTACAAAGTAGATTTTTAAACTATGAACATTTTATGTTAAGGAATGTATTTCATATATTAACCCTGATGTGGCAAAAATCAGCAGTAATAACACAGCAACAGCAAAGTCTAGTAGCAAACATGTTCCTTTGAACTTACCGACGCAGATCTTCTTTACTGTTCTGCAGCGCCTCCAGTACTTGTGCCAGCCTGCTCTGAGTGACTCACCAACTCAAATAAGAGGAGCTGAGCTACAAAACAAGGGTGTTGACCTGATGCAGCCATTCATGGCCAACTGACAGCAGATGTACAGACTGATGTACTGATGGAACTCCTTAAAATTACAATTTAACACGTCAACCAGCCTCACCTGTTGCTCTCCTGTGACGTAAAACAGCCACAAATAAAATCTGCTTCATGTCATCACCTTTAGAAATAACCCACGTTTTAACAGCACTGCCTCAACCGTGTTCAAGGTGACTCAGAGTTTGTTGTTTTTTTTTTTTACATTCATCAGATCTGCTCTTTATGAGATTTCATTCTGAACTTTCTTTTCAGATAATCTCCTGTGTTCAGCATTTTACTTATTCAGTTACCTTTTTTTTTTTTTCTTTTGTGACTCAGACACACAGCCTAGTCAATGAAATAACTGGAAAGAGTACGAAGATGATGTACTCAAGTAAGAGTACAGTTACTTTGATCAAATTTTACCTAATTACGAGTTACCAGTCTAAAATGTTACTCAAATAAAAATAAACAGTACCTCATTAAAATCTTACTTTAAGTAAAAGTTACCTTGCTTCTTGTTTATGAGCAGAAGAAAGTTTCACTTATGTATTTCACAACGAAAAAGAGGAGATATTGGTGTACTTTTGATTAAAGAAGCAGCTTCATAAAGAGAAATACAACATAAAATTCAACATATAATATATATCTCTATGATATATATATATATATATATTTTTTTTTTTTTACAAAGGCACCTGTCTTCCAATTGATGCAACAACGAAGGGATCTGATCACTAACCCACAAAAGGATCAATGCTGTTTGATTTTGTATATTTTATTTATTTTAGCTTTTTTCTACTCATTAATGGATATGATTTCAAATGTAACTGAGTAAAATACTTTACTCAAAACATGCACAAGTAAATGTTTTTCCAAATACATGCAAATTGTGCTGAATTGCAATAATGCTGAACATAAATCTTCTTGTTTTGGTACTAAGATTTACTTTCTTGAACTGATACTTAAGTTGTTTTCGGAAAAGTTTCTGTTATCAAGCTTGTGAGCACTTACTGTCTTATCTGCAGCATTTTGTTATCGGTGTTAAAAGTTAATTGTTTCACTAGGCTGAAGCTAATGACTAGTTTGAGGGGAACCCAGGACCAAAGCTGAATTCTCCCATCCCTGAAACATCTGGAGTTGATGTGAACTACACAAATCTTTAAACAATCCTTACTTTTGCATTGGGTAAATGGGAATTTCCACTGAAAATGGAGGCAAGAGGCAATACAGTAGCACTAGTGTTCCTGTGAGAAGTGTACTCAAGAGTGGAACATGTAATATATTTTCTGATAATTAAGTGCAAAATGGGTTAAACTAGTATAAATAAATGCTTTTTTTTTCATTTTCACCCTGTGTTGCAAAGACCTGAAACACTTTACAAGTTTCAAACAGTAGAATCACTGGTGGTCCACAGCTTTCTACTACTTCATGTGCCAATAAATCAACAGCTTCTGTGCAAATAATCGTTCAATGCAAACCTTCCCTGTTTATATTTTCTTTCCAGAAAGAAAAGATGTGTTGTAAGTATATTATCACCCCATACACACACTTAGCTTCAGCCTCTAGCACCAACTAGTCTGAATTTACTCTGAGACGTCACATTGCCTTTGACAGAGCCTCACTTCAAAAATCCTGAAATATTCCATTAAATCTTAAGTTCTCTGAATCTGATCATTTAAGGGCAATAAGAAAGGGGAATTATATTTAAAAGTCAACAGAAAATAATATAAGTGCGTTTAAAAAACACAGAAATGGGATAAAAATACATATTTGAATAACAGGAAAACAGTATTTTTATCCATCAACAAATTATATTTCTGTGTGATTTATTAGAACCCACACAGTTTTTCTTCATGGGTTGATGAGACACATTGTAGAAATATTCACAGACACACAAACAGAGAAACATTTCACAAATTGCTGTATTTAAATAGCTTACAATTCTGAAAAATGATCCAAAAACCTCTTGAAATGTGAAAACTGGCCGTCAGGCCTGCCTGTTGTATCCTCAAATAACACTTTTACTCCCAGCTGATTACTGACCATTATTTATGTAAAAGCTTTTTGTATCAGTTTATGATACACTGAATAGCATTATTATTATAATTTTACAAAAGGGGACAATATAGACATAGCATTAACATAATTCATGTTACATCCAAACAATAAGAATGTTTTTTTTTTATTTTTTGTATGTTATGGGTTTTCATTCATTTAGTCTCAGCTCTAAACCAATTCGCTTTAGTACTCAATGGAAGTACGAGAATGAGAGTTTTAAAGGTCATCCATCCATTGTTTATAACCGCTTGTCCTAACCTAACCCACAATAAACACAGTCAAACTTTTAAACTTACACTGAAAAGTGTTTAAATGAGTGAAGTAAAAGTCCAAAAACCAAAGAAAACTGTGAAAAATCCCCCCAAAAAAAAAAAACAGTCAGCAGAGATGACAGCTGCTACATAAGAGTATGGTTCATCAAATGATTTTGAAATGCTGCTCGTTTATTCTGTGCATGTCTTAAAAAGAGGTTAAGCAAAGTGATCACATATCATCTGAAGCACACTGTAGCGTTATTAATAAAAGTCTACAATACACAATGACACGCAGCAAACCAAGCTCAGACTATCAACACACAAACAAAAATACCTGACAAGGCGCTTTGCTATAGACTAAATAAGATACTGAGTGGCAGATACTTGGTATCTTGAAGCAAAGAAACAAACAGTGAAGTAGTTTGACATCCAGCTGAGGCTGGTTGACAGACTGCCCACCGTCTTCATCTGTAACAAACTGACTCCTACAACATTAGATGTAGCTGTGATTCATTTTAAAAACTAACCCGGCCTAATGTTGCTTATAAAGGTTGATGTTAAATTGTTTAGTGTATATTTTAGTGATGGGCGGTTCTGCTTATCTACTGACAGTATATTTGTGGCTTGAATTTGACACAGTAAAAAAAAAAATCAAGGCCTTTTTTAAAATACCACAGAAATCCAAGGAGGTTTTCAGAATTGCTTAGTTTTTGGCACAGCTTTTTTTTTTTTTAAACAGGCACCCAAATGGGACCGCTGTCCCACTTGTTCTGAATCCAGTTACTTTATTCCTCTTTTTCATGAGTTGAGTTTCATGAGTTTTAAATTGGAGTTTGAATTGATTATTTTTGAATCGGTTTCCAAAAGTCAAGTAAACTCAGTATGTTGGATTTTAAAAGAGATGCTTCACAGTGACCATATTATAGTGAGTTCAGGTGAGGAGGGGCAGGAAGTACTGTGCACAAGTCTAAAAGCACATTGTGATTCATTCAGTGGTGAGGAGCAACAGTTCTCCAGGATTTCAGTCACTTTTTTTCCTTTTCCACCCACACTTAATCTTATCCAATTCTACAGGTTTGTTGCAGTAAATGTGCTTTAATTACAGCACCCAAGAAGGCATTACTTTTGAGGAGAGTCACTGCTTTTTATCTTAGAAAAATTTTTTTTTTTTTACTTATTTCAGATCTCTGATCTAGACATATCTCACAATAAGTATTTCTAGCCTGTCAAATTATCCAAACTCCTGAAAAAATCATTTTGATTCCAGCTTGAAAGGCAAGAAGAAAATGCCAGTGAAGGTGAATATTTAGGTAAGGCACAGCAGCCAGGCTAGTTATCTCAATCTTTGAAGGCACTGCAGATCATCCTAACCAGTAGAGCTGTCAGGAGACATCATGGTCACAACGCCTGGAGATCTTTCTCTGATCTCAACTTTCTCGTCTTGGTTTACCTGAGATTGCTCTGAGCTGGTGTTAGAAAGGCATGAGCCTTCAGCAGCTTGCAGTATTTTTATGCTACCTAAAGAAATACTTTGTGGTTGACTGACTGGATCTGGATGTAATGGCTTCTGAGATTTGAGTGTCATGTTGAGGTTGGGATAGCTACCAGACTCCGTCATGGCCTGACATACATGTTCCCAGGCTGTGACACCGTTAAGGCTGTGGGCTGGGTTGCTGACAGCCTGGCAGAGTAGCTCTGTGTGTTGACGCAGCTGGGAAATGTCCTGCTCAGTGCTGTTGCTCTGGCGAAGGAGCTCCATTGTACGCAAGGTAATGTCCAACAGACCTGACTGTCTGAGAAGTTCTACCGTGTTGAGGAATCGCCAATGGGGAGGACTAGTGGTGATTTTCCTCTGACGTCCTCCGTCTGAGTGATCAGAGGACGCAGTGTGCAGACTAGAGATGGATAGAGATCCTGGGGTTGTGGACGAAATGGTGAAGGTGGAGGAGGACAAACTGTTTCTGCTTGACAAGGTAGTCAACAGGACAGAGTTTGAAACTGTCGACTGGTTGTGATGATGTTCCTCCGACTGACCTGTAGTTACTGAATTGTCTTCAGTCTTGCGTTCAGTGCATATCCTCTTGCTCAAATATTGGGATTCCTGGTTTGATAAAGACTTGTCAGGTGGTTTCTTGGTAGGATGTGGCGCTATGCGAGGGTAAGAGTTAAGAATAGGAAGGTAGGTGTTTTTTATTTTATTTCCTGTGACTCTCGAAGTTTGGGATTTGAAAGGCTTGATGAGCTGAATCGATGCTGGCACAAAGCTTGGCTGATCCAGGCTGATCATATGGTTGCTTTTCCTCGTGCTGTTATTTACATGCAACTGATTTCTTTTCAGGGTTGTGGCTGGCTGTTGGGTGAAAGAACAGAGAAAAGAAGAAAGCAGCTATATCATTCAGGAATAAACATGGCACGGAGGATGCAAGTTGTTCAAAAAGCTATGTGTTGTAAGAAGGCTATACCAAACTGTGGTTCAAGGAACAATTGAAAACATTTTCACAGATAGGTTGAACTTAAATTGATAGACTTTAAAACAAACTCTTGACCTCAAAAACAGCTTCCTACTTTTGTTCCTACAGGTTTTAATTTATTTCTGTTTCCATTTGCATATGTGCGACTAAACCTCTTTACTAGTGTAATTACCTTGATGATGTAGATGGGTTGGTGAACCTGTTTGGTTGCCATTACAGCAGGATTTCCAGTATTTCTGCCACCATGTACTTTACATTGACCAGTTTGTGGAGCTTCTGCATGTTCTACCAATCTCCGCTGACTTTTGGTGCTCCTCTGGTCCTCAATGTCTGTCTGCTGCCAGTCGGAACCGTCTGGGAGTCAGAGAATACAGGATGAGGTAACAGGGTTCAAATCTTTGTCAAGCATCTTGGGGGGAAAAAAAAAAAAAAAAAAACTTCTGCATCTCATAAAATGCTCAGTTGTGGCTAATTATGTGATGAATCTGAATCCGTTTTCACAATCAATTTAGTGTATTTGTATAGCACATTTCAGCAACACGGCAGGTCAAAGTGCTTTACATAGTGAAAGCACATGGGATATTATAGTCAACAATTGAATATGTTGGACAATGTTCCACGTATTATGATTCAAAAGCAACTCTAAACAGGTAGGTTTTTAGTATAGATTTAAAAGGAACTTGGTGTTTCAGCTGTTTTGCAGTTTTTGGTTCTGGGGATGCAGAGCAGACCAAAACTAGAAGACCTGAGATCTGGAAGGTTGATACAACAACAAGGCTTGTTGTTGTATCAACAATGTAATGTACTTAATTTATTGTGGTGCTAAGCCGTTCAGTGATTTGTAAACAAACAACAGTATTTAAAATCTATTCTCTGAGCTTCAGGGAGGCTGTGTAAGGATTTTAGATCTCATTTCGAAGTTTGGAAAAGCTTATAAACGATCCATAATAAGTCTTAGCTTTGACTAATGCATTAATATTTGAATGTGAATTTGGCTTTTAATTCTGTTCAATAATTGAATCTACTTTATGATCGGATGCCTAATGCGATAGGCTAAGCAAGGGTTTTAAGATGCAGAAAAGAGGAAAAACGTTTGGATGACTAAGGCTCCAAGAGGTCTAATCAACTTGCCAAGATCTGCTTGTGCTACATATGTTTATTTGGAGTATAATTCCTGCAACATTTGCATCTTGTTTTCCTTGGTGTCATATAGCTCCAAATACAAAATCCCCGACAGACGAAATTTGAACCAACAGCCTTCTACTCTGAGTTATCTTCTGGCCAGAACAACGTCTGTTTTGTTGAGATTTCCTGTAGATGTAGTCTGCAGGAAAACATCCTTAACACAGATTTTTTGATATATTGTGAGGTTGGCTTATTTGTGTACATTAATGTAGTTTTACATAGCTTATTAAGGCTATATGCACACATTTACCGCAGACACTTTAACTCACCAGAATACCCGGAGTCTTTTTCTGAGCTGCAGCTGGAGCCTCTTCTGTTAGAATCAACTGCATGCTTCGGGTCACGTATTGTCAGCAAGGTATTGCTGTTGCTCTTATCTTTCGCATTCTTGCTTGATGGTGCACAGGGACGGTTTTCCCTGAAACAAAGCTGTTCTTTCGGCATGACGGCCCTTAACAAAAAAAAAAAAAAAAAAGTGGTGTTTACTACAAGATAAAACATTTTGGTAAAAAGTTTCTTGCAATAGTTTTAATATCACTGAAACTTAACCAAGTTTACCATGTTGCAACCACAAGCTTCTATGTAGTTTATTGAGATTTTAAATTATAGACCTAAGCAGTGACTAGAACTGAAGTGAGTGGAAGAGAAAAGATCAATTTAAATTTTTTGTATTCAGGTGCCTTTACTCTGTCAATGTCCAGTGGAAATAACTGCTTTGGGAAGTTACATAAGTAGTAATTAGAGGAATTTCAGTATATCTGTTCTGTGAAGACATCTAAGGTTTGTAAGAGAATAGCTATGAAGAAACAGCATCAGTTGTCCTCTTGTTTTAATTTGATTAATACAGTTTTTTCTTTTTTTAAACATGCGTTTATTAATTTTATTCATAGCTACAATGATGTTGAGGGTATAACAGGTCTAAACAGAGAACAGCTTTTCTAAAGTTTCGACAATTACTTCCCTGTGGAACTGAAAGTTATTAATTTAATTTTAAAGTTAAAAGTAAATTAATAGCTTTCAGTTCCACAGGGAAGTAATACAAAAACAACTGAATTAATCCTCTAACAATTGGACATGACCTGGTATCTTCCTATTATCTTTCGGCGTCGAAATAAACAAAAAAATCTATTATAATAATTAGCTGTGCATATATTCCATCTTTACCTGTCACAGGGCATTTAGAGCATAAAAATGCGTCGTTTGATTTATCGAAGCTTTCTCCACTCGTGTTTACGATATAATCAGCGGCGGTGGTTCCGTGAATGCACCACACCGTTCCTTCCTGCCCCTGTTGTGTTATGTAACATTCAACTTTAAGACCAGCCCTCTCTTTAGACGCTTCCTTTCGCACTGCTCCTCTCATGTACACATAAATCAACACATTAGACAGACCCTGGGCAAATTTAAAGCTGAAGCCCCAATGTGGGCTTTGCAACCTTGTGAAAAACAAAAAAAGTTGCAGTAGAGTATTAAACGCATCTGTGGAAATAGGTAATACAGCACGTTTTCTCCCAAAAGCAGTATTGAACTTACCTTCAGATGTAAAAACAGTCGATTATATCACGATAATGGTCGTTTCCTCCTTCATCAGAACAGTTTTACAAAGTCAACAAATAGGTTAGCCAACAGCGCCATGTTGCAGCTGTTAACAGACGGATTTACGGCATTAAATACATTTATTGCTCTTTGATACACAGGCTACGCCAAGTAATGAACTAAACAGAAACGGGCTGAGAGTCTGCAATATCTGTTGTCAAACTGGAGAGGCTAACAAAACATCCGATTACCTTCAAAATAAAAGTCTCAAATAACTCAAACTATGAAAACAGCCGCCAGGATCTCGTGATAAAATACTATTTTTGATCATTTTCTGTGCAGCTTATTATTACGGTCAACGGTTTTTATAATCCAGTTAGGAGTTAGTAAAAAAAATAAATAAATAAATCTGAACGTGTCCGTCTTTTGTTTTGAAATGCAGACGCTGTTGTAGGAAACTTAATGACACCGTTTTCACATGAGAAAAGTGGCATGTTATGTCATTTGATCATGCGTGGACTCAAAATTCTTGTTTTCAAAAAGGAAATAAACTGTCAGAAGCATAACTAAATCTCGATTTCTGTCAGTGTGCCGTCAACTAACTGCACTAGTTTGACTACATGCAAGGCAAAACAAACGGTTTTTTACCGGAGCACAGCGCTCATTGGTCAATGAGACAACTACAACAACCAATCATATAATAGTGCACGTACAGTTGGCATAGAGTAGAGCTCCCCACGGTCATGACTCAGAATTTTATAACATAAATTCAAGCATAAACACCTTTAAGCTGGTTTGACTTTATAATTTGTCATGAAATACACTTGTTCTTCAAATATCCTTTTTTTTTAGCTTAAAGTATTGAGTTACTCTTAAGTGTATTGAACAGTTTTACGTGTTATATAAAATCTGGCATAGTCAAGGCAAATGTACAGTTATATGGACAGTTATGTATGTTATATGAACAGTTTTCCTGTCTTGATTGCAAACTGACCATTTGTTGCATACTTTCCCCTTCCTATTTTCTGTCCATTTACTCTTCAATAAAGGCCTAAAACATTGTAAAATGTTAAAAGTTAATGCCTACAAGATTGTTGAACAGTTGTCCAGCAGACAGTTATTGACAATCTCTATGAAGAGACCAAAACAAAATTTAAGAAGCTGGCCTTTTAAAGTGTATTTAAGCATAAGAATAGAAAGTTAAGTGAAAGAAAAATGTAGTGTAAAAATGTACACCAACAGTGATAGAAGCCCCAAGACATTTGCATTGATAGATTTCATAGATTTTTTTTTTACATAAAAATTAGTTAATATTTTGTAGAACTGTTTTCCATAAAATTTGTCTTTCCTCGTGGCATGAGTCATTTTGTGAAGTGCACTTGTCCATACCAGATCAAAACACATTACTGCCAGTAAGGAGGGGGGAAAAAAAAAAAAAGTTTGCTAAAAAAATAAAATGAATATTTTTGGGTATAGTTGTAAATAAGGTAATACCATGATAAAAAAAAAAAAAACAGAAGACAAAACATTGCAGCAGACTTTATTTTACATTAAAAAGATTTCATACAACTTGACAGACAACCCACATCCTCTCCGCAAAAGACAAGAACACATCAGTACAATTAAAGTATTTTCTAAATTGGCTGCAAGTTATTATAAAACGAACTTTGCTTCATTCTCGGCTAAATCCCATGCAAGGAAACACCCAATTTGTCAACATTCAGCATGAAATTTCTCACACTTCTGACCCTTACTCTGCAGCTCCTTATAAAACCCAAGTGATTAGTTCAGATTGAGCTTAGGCCGAGAACTCACGGTGTCCAAGTCAGAGATGTCACCTGCAAACACTCAGCAGACCTGCAGCATTATTCAGACCTGGGTGTCTACTGACTTGCAATGTCTTTGGGGATGAATATTTAATAAAAGTAGCACAGGTCTCTTGGGAGCTGGCTTTGGCTGCAGCACTAGCTAGAATATGCATGATCCTCAGCAGAGTAGGCTCACTGAAAAAGCAGCATAACAAATAAGTTCAGAACAAAATGAAGAGCCATTTTCACAAGAGGTACAACATATTTGGTCACCATGCACAAAAAGAAGATTGACAAATTGCACACCTGCCAACATGGATGCTGGAAGCCAGACACCATGCAGCCTCTCCCTCTGGCGTCGGACATTCCTGCAAAACTTGGCGGGCCAAACAGAGGGCTGCGCCAGCCAGCTGCACAGGCAGAAACACCACACACTGGGCCTCCAGCAGAGAGAGTTCTAGTAGATAACGAGCCATCCACACCACCTATAAGTACAAGTGACCGCTCAGACTCCACCGGCATGCAACAGCAGGAGGAAGATGACACACGATGTGGTTTTACCGCAGCACTGCAGCGAGCGACAGAGGCAAACAGGAGGAGGAAGTGCAGCGGGGGACTGAAGGACAGATCAAACTTGAGCGCACACAAAACTTTGCGTTCCATTCGCAGAAGCTGATGCTTTGTGTAGGTGTGGTCCATCAAGCTGCAGAGTCCAGACACCTGAAATGTCACAAAAATGCTTTAGAACAAAAGTTTTTCAAAAACATGCCTCATTGATTCCAATAGTCTGTTGAGTTTTACAATGAATGGACCATTTATTCGGACATGCTAGCCAGCTCCAGTTTCTATAGTTGGGCAGGAGTGAGGCAGCGTACCTCTGGAAGGAGGCTCTCCTCTTTCTTTGCAGCAAGAAAGAGGCAAACCATGCTAAGGAGCTGGAGGTTGGCTACGGACACCTTCAGCTGTCGCAGGGAGCGGTTGAGGAGGTGCATCGCTAGGTAGAGAGTCTCTTCCTGGAACTGTAGCAGCTCCTGAAAGAAGTAAGCATTGTCTTTATTAAAACACGGTGGTTAATTTAGGTTTTGTCAAACCTGAAACTTTTTGCTAAATTCTTCATTTACTCCCAGGTACAGGTTAGTCTACGTCAGTGGTTCTCCCACACCTTTACAGACTCAATGCAACTAGACTGCCTTTACAGCTTGTTTTATGTAATGAAGGGGGGAAGGTATGGACTAACTCACTGGCACCACATAAGACACAAAGTGCGTTTATGTTTTCAACTTTTAAAATTAAACTTCCAAGTTTGAAGTTGGGGAAAAAAAAATCCCTTGACATTTTGAGTGGTAGAGCTTCCCCCCCACCAACTCCAACTTAAAAATCCAAAATGTCCACCTTGCAAATAGAAACTTAGCAATGGCTGGAGTTTTAGATTTTTATGGCACTTGGTGGCCTCTACCGACAGCCACCAATCAGAATAATGGAGCAAGAAGGGGGAAGACGCACAGCAAAGGCCTCAGGCTAAGGAGAAACTGAGGACAGCTGCATGTAGGGCTCCTTCACAGCACAACAGCTGAAGGTTTGAAGTCATTTTTCTGCTGCATTAGATCACAAACTGAAGTACAGTATGTGTAAAATAAGCTTGGCTTGGATTGTGAATGACAATGGTCACCTGAGTACATTCATTGTCCAAAGCTGGTTCAATAACGTGGACTCGGGTTAGGTTTCACTCAGTATTATTTCTTACTCAAAAGTTGGATTTGAGTGGTAAATGGAAAAAAGTACAATTACCAACACTTTCTAGTTAAACAGCATACATTTGTATTCACTTGGCAAATTATTAATATTTTTCTACATACCTTATAAACCCAGCCCACTGTTGATACATGTGACACAGTTTGCTAACCTTTAAGCTGATGTGATGGAGGTTCCCTACAATGATTTGTTGAGCTTTAATGTTGACAAAGAAAACCACCACTCACATGAACCTGAATGATCCACTCTACTAGGATAGCTCGAGTAGCATCAGTGAAATGGCGAGGGAGATCAGCATTGGGAAAGGAGTACTGCATTTGAGTTCTCTACAGTGTGTAGGAAGGGGGGTAGGGAGAAGCAAAACAGGAAAAACATCTTTAAATGAAGCAGTTGCTGTTTAGCAAATTGTTCCAGTCCTCATGTTTCTCACCATCATGTCCAAGAACATGTCCCAGGCATATGTTCGATCCCAAATAAGGTCCAGATTCTCAAGTGCCATCTCGACTTCGTGTCTCAGTAAGCTGGGAACCAGGGTGTGTAGGCTGTGAAGCCCCTGCAGGTCGTGCAGGTAGAGGAGCACTGGATCCTCCACAGAGCCATCTGCTGCACATAGAAAAGCCTTTTCATTTTTAAACAAAAGCCTTTTCATTTTTAAACAAAAACTGCAAAATACTCTTATATGGAGCCTTTGGCTACTCATTTTTAATTTACAATTCAACCCCCACTGAAATCACAACTTTTTACATAACCGGAAAACACACTGCTAGAATCATGCTCCCCCGTTACTTATTTGTAGTGCACAAACATCTCAAAGTGGACAGACCCAGAAGTGTCTAAAACCTGAAGACACTACCAGCCTTGCATGTCCTGCTATCCTCATGGAAACCCATGATGATGACTTCACTGGTTTGCGTTGATGGCCTCCTTTCCTGTAGAAAAAAATGCATTCATAAGTTGGGCTGCTTAGATATCCAAGCTGTCAGCTGGTTTGGTTCAAAGCACAAGGTGAGTGGGAGAAGGGTTGGGGAGAGAAACAAATCAGCCGCTTTGGGATGACGGTGGTAAACAGGACAGCAGGCCTACCCATCTGCGCTCTGGTTCTATTTTGACTGGGGCCGTTCTGGACTCCTCCACTTCTACAGGCCCACAGGCATTAGCCCAAGTTCTTAGTGGGGCTCTCCTCTCATCCGCCTGAAGGGACAACAGATCGTCTCTGCTCAGATCATGGACATTTCTTTAAATTCCCATCACCTTGCATCTTTTGCAGGATGTTTGCAGAAATTTACGTTGGTTTCTGCTCTGGTCATATTAATCAGAGACTCTCCAACACCTGAGATCAACTAAACAAAAGGTTCCCCCCCTTCACATTTAAAAAATGAACCCATCCAAGCTTGGGATTTCACCAAAATGAGAAAAGAAAGCCACATAAATTTAGAATATACATTTAGAAACAGTTTTGATACATTTCCTTCCTTTTCCTGTCAAATTGTTTGAAGACTGCTAAGCATATAGGCCACATAGTAAACAACCTCAAGTGGGTTGTATTCATAGCGATTGGCAAATTACATCCGATGATGCCATGGGATTGGATCCGATGAACACACACTGCTCACCTTCTTGTGTAAGTCCAACGGGGCCTTGGAGTCGCAGAACCCGGTCCTGGCCATGGTGACAGCCGGAGACGGAGTTCCCGTGTCGGGGCCGCTGCAGCTACTTACGACAGAGTTCAGGGGAGGCCTGGCAGGAGAAAGGAACCACGCTGCCTGGAACGACGCTAATAAACACAGCTGGAAGACACTGATTGGCTTTCAACAGCCGGTGGGTTCAAGTAAAGGGATGATTTATTAAAGAATTGACGCTTCTTAAAGTATAATCTGCAACCTCCACCAAGTACATATAAATTTATACATATTTATAGTTGCACAACTTTTCCCTTTCAGAAAGTCCGATCATTTTCATTTCATTTTTTTCCTTCAAGTATTTTCTTTCGAGTATGTCACTTTATATTCTTTTCCCCCTTTATTTGCATTATTCAACTTAAGTTCGCCCCTCCACAGAAATCATGTATATGCAAACATTTAATTGGGACAATCAGCAGATGCTAAGTGGAAAGTGGAATACAAGACGGTGTTAAAAGATTTTCCGTCCACATTGGCATTCATGACTTGGGTTAATACACCACGAGATATTAGCAATCTGACTTATTGGGCTTTCTATAGAAATCAATGAGATCTGAAAAAATAAGTTGGTTTGTCTAGGTATCTTCTCATCTGCCTATTTCACTTATTTTTTGCCCTTTGTTGCATATGTGTTCACCTGACGTCTTCCAGGTGTGAAATTGTGCCACCTACTGCTTGTTTTGTGCAAGATGTCAATTTGTACCCATCAGAGGGACGTTGCATTCTAACTTTGACATCTGACTAGTAATTTTCTGATACTCATTGTTTACTATGAAGAATGTATGACTCCAATGAAGAACTCAGTCTTGGCAGGTGGTTGCTCGTACAGAACCAGGTTTTGCTGGAGGTTTCTTCCTATTAAATGGGAGTTTATCCTCTATTGTCACAATGCATGAATGGTATGAGGGATTGCTGTAAAGAGAACAATGCAACCAATTGTCTACTGTTGCTTCATGCTCGTCCAGGAGGGGTGTATCGTACAAGTCAATGACTCTATGCAATCTGATGAATTTCCTTAGGAAACATTTTAAGCTATTTTGAATAATAAACTGAACTTGAAGCACTGTTTGATAACTAGGATCAGTTAGAATGTGACTGAATTGAACAAACTTTTATAAAAAGCCATAGGGTGACAACTGTTGTGAATTGGCACTCAACTAGAAGCAGGAGATCGCTTCATTAATCACAGTGATAATCAGTCTGATTTTAGTAGAGTCAACTGACACAACAGGCATCAGAACCAAAACAAGGGCAATATTTTTTCAGAAAACATTAAAGCCGCTTGCATTAAATGAGATTGGATTATTTTCAAGATTGCTCAAATGTCATTTGTGAAAAACAGAAAATACACTTGGTGAAAGATTGGAGATTGTAGTTATTGTAATTTAGTAGCATATAAAGTGAACAGATTTCTCATTAAGTGAAAGCAGAGCATAAAAGACACAGACACAGGTTTGATCAGTAAAAAGGTTTACTGGCACATTATAGTTGCAAATATAAGCTACCATACTGTAGCAGGTATCACCCGTTACATTGTAAAGTCTTAAAAGGAGGGTGGGAATTCCGGCTAGGACAGCATCCTCCATTTAAAGATTGTTTTTTTTTTTTTTCATTGCCCTCTGAGCATCAATTTAAAAAAAAAAAAAAAAAGAGAGAAAAAAAATGTCTCTGTAACACCAGAATCAGGTATGACATTCCTGACCGTTGATCACATTCAGATATACAGAGAAACATGTTAACCATGGTAAAGCTGCAAATCAAACACTACAAAGCTACAGGCCTCCCCTTCTACTAATGCTGCATTCGAAAACAAGCTCCTTTTCCTTTTTTTTTTTTTTGAAATTTTTTTTTTTTTTTTTTGGTATTTACATAATAATGAAGAGGCACTTGTTGTGCCAGTGTACGCCTACAGGAGAGGTCAGGGGTGTTCACTTGCATGTTCAGCTGTGAAGCATTGCTTAAAGCGTGGCCAACAGAGAGGTTCAATCTATGGCTTCACCACCAAGTTTAAAGAGTCCGGCAGCATCCCCTTGTGGCCATGATAGCAATGAAGGCAAATCCACAGTGGAGTCCATCAGTGCAATGGTTCTGATATCAGGCCCTGCCAAAGCAGGACTGCAGGACAGAGTATGATGACTGTGTCTGAGCCAGTGAGAAGAGGTGCTGGAGTTGTTTCAGCGTAAATCAAAGCCATTTGATCACGGTATTGTCTGCAGGAACTGAGGCCACCCCATGGTCTTTGCTGTGTTGAAAAGCTGCTGTGTTTTTTTTGTTGTTGTTTTTTCCTGTGTTTGAATCACTACGTTCACTCAAGCATCTAAACAGGCACGCTCTTTCACTCAGTCAAGCAGACAAACTTAAAGTCACCAACAAACAAGCAAAAATAAAAACTAACTCAAATAAAAATCACACAAACATAAATTAATGTGACAAGAGAGATGTCTTAGAGGACGCTAATTTGTTCATGCGAAACCTTCAAACACGTTAAGTAGTCAATGTTCTGCAATGTCTGTAGGAGAAAGCATTAAAAGGACAGTTTTCTTATTATCAGTGCTACTGAGTAAGACTAGCTGCTGTTGTTCTTAACTCAAATACTATCAGGGAAAAATTAAGTTCAGGATTTATGAGGTTTAGTAAAATTTAGGGCAGTATGTTAATACCTATGCTTTAAGAATGAAAGGTAATATAAGCAGAATATAAATGACAATTTCTCCATTCCAATGTACATTTTTAAATTGTAATTTAAAAGGGCTTTTTGGCTCAATATGGACCTAACTTATCATTTCTCTAATGGTATCCCCTTGAAGTCAAAAACTTCAGTTTAAGAAAAACAAAAACATAAAGAAAGCAGTTCAAAAAAACTTTAATATATTCATATTTTATATAATGTACTTAAAACCAGACAATCTGTCTTGCAAAATTTGAGAAATAGATGGACAAAAAGGGAGGAAAACTCAACAAACAAAAACAGGAAACAGAAAAAAAAATGCTTTGATGTTCTTTTGTCACGACTTAAAAGAATAAAGCGAGATCTCTTCCAGCATCACGACATAAAAGTTTGAGTCAGCTTCTCTCAATCATGTGCCTTCATGACTAAAAGTATGCAGGTTTTCTCTTGAAACTAATACAGCTGATGTTTGGGCAGTTCCTCCTTTTTACAGGTGAATTAAAGGCAGGTCCAACAGGTCACACCTCTGTTGCTTCAAACAACGGACACTTGTGCTCGGACACTTGAGGAAACAAATCAGGCTCTAAATGTGAAATGTTGACTCAAATCAAGAGATAAATGTCCAAAAAGTCACTTGGAATTATTTAGTTGTTTTTTTTTTTTTAATGAAGGGAGGAATTAAAAAGCTAGGTTTAAAAATACTTCAAGACGTTGCACTGATATTAAAAAAAATATATATATTGCTGAATAACCAATTCAGCAAGGGAGGAAGTTTTACAGAACAAAAAGACAGAGTAAATGCTTAAAACAGGACATTTTCTGGACAAGTCCAGGAAAACTGGGGTCAGAGTTTTATTCAGTCTTTATCAATATGTACACATGGAGAAACTAGCCTGGATCTTCTTTCTACAAAACCAGAGACTAGCTGGAATCCGAGTTTACAAACCTGGACTCCACGTGAATGAGTGCTGCATCACATTAGCGAATGCAGTTTCGACAGCAAAGGTAAGCCATGCAATAAGGTCTGTTTGTTTATCTTGACTGACACAATTTAACAGCCAGCAATCAGAACAGCAATCTTAAACTACACGGCTTCAAAATGAAAAACAGCCCACTGAGTGTGTTGCGTAGTGTGTCCTCTCTCGCCCATGTTCCAGCAAAACGTTTAGTTTAAAAACATGCATAAAAAATGACACAAATGGATGGCTGACGATTCAAACTGTTGTTCACTCGTTCCTCTTGCGCTCTCTCTGCACACACGCATACATTCATATCCTCTCGCCCATCCGCATATACACCCTGTGCAGTGCAAACACCGTAATGGCAACTCTCCTCATCTTCCCCCATGTCCTTGTTTCCCTCCCACCCCCCTGCTGTAGGAAAACCCTACACTTGATTTGTAACAGCAAGTTCCAGAAAGGGCACTTGTTATTTTTCTTTTTAATTAAAAAAAAAAAAAAAATTGAAATATGGCTTTACATTTAAAACCGTAACTGATGAAAAAAAAAAAAAATGTTTTCCCCTCCCTCAATTTTTTTTTTTTTTTCATTTTCCAAATTCAGATTACACTCTTTAAAATTCTACCAAGTTTGTTGATGTAAATATGTAGTTTAAGCATGGGTCGTTTGTTGTGCGTGCATGTGTGTGTGTGTGAGAACCTTGGGTACAGCTGGTAAAGATGAGGGACTTGCTGGCATAACCTGGTTTGAAGTGTAAAGGCTTTGATGTGGTGTTGCAGAGGTCCAGCAGGACGTGCAGAGACAAAGCTGCCAGTCTATTCAAACAAACCTGCTGAGCTCGGTCAGGCATGGGCCGTGTGTTGAATTCATACTTTATAAACTATATTTTTTTTTCTCTATGATTTACCTGTAATTGTGTCAAAGACAGAATGAAAAATGTGCCTTGTGCCACTTTTTTTTTTTTTTTGTTTGTTTTGTGTCATTTTTTTTATTTTTTATTTTATATTCCTCACCAGTGCAAGGGTGCATGTGGGATTGGGATTGTGATTGTGTGCCAGCCTGCCTGCTTGTTCATGAGTCTTAGTGATCATTCCCGTATGCTGGCAGAGTAGGAGAACTGAGGGAAGTGTGTACGCTGATCTGAATCCTCAACATCTAAGCTGTCATCTGGAGTGTACACACAGAGAGTAAGAGAGAGAGAGAGAGAGAGAGGGGGAGGCGGAGGAGACAAACATTGGAAGTTAAAAACAGATGTAAAAGATCAGAGTTACACTCAAAAATTCAAAGCATATTTGCTTACACTTGTCTGGAGGAGTTATTGTAATAGATTGTGCTGTGAACTCATCATCGAAGTAACGGGTGTCTGTCTCTGATGTTACTTGGGGCTTGAAGGGTGGGATAAGCTGAGAAAATAGACAAAAAGAAAAAGAATCACTTTACAAACCGCTCATCTTGTGTTGAATAGCACATCATGCATCTCTGTTTCAATCCTCTCACCTTTTTTTCAATCACGTCCTGCCAGTTTATCAAGGCAAAGAACTTGTGGGTCATTACATCTTTGGCATCGTCTGGTCCACCTCCAAGCCTGTTAAAGGAAAACAACATTACTATCACCACCACGTATGTGTCGGCTATAAATAAACATGCAAACGTGGCTATCAGAAACGAGCAGCGAGCGATGCTGACCAGTTTCAAAACAAATTTAGTGCGTGTTTTTTAGTAAGCCTGCAGGCACAGCTCAGGGTGCCAATATTAGCAGTTCTCCTGCGACTGGCAGAAACACGGGGACTTGACCAAAACAACAATCAATTATGTGCCTGTTTAAGACCATTACCCAGAACCGAAAACAATCAGCGAGGTACATGGGCTGCAATAACATTATTACTCTGTTTATAGCTGAGCTGCCAAGCACACTCAGCAAAGCATTAACTGCAGCAAAGTGTTAAACCCAAATAAAGAATATTTTCTGAGGCTTTACAGCTCTTTCTTTGGGAGATGAATCTATCAGCAGATGAATGAGCACAAACAGCTAATCCAATTTTATTCTTACTTTTTTAAAATCACCAAATCCCAACATAAACATTTACTCCTCCTTAAACAGTCCAACAAGAGAGATGATAACACATGGAGACAGAATTTTAAATGATAAAATAGAGACTAGTAAATAGCATTTTCAAATAAAAATTACAATTTTGCTTTATGCCTGGCTTCCCTGTAGCACCTTGGATCTTAAGACAAGCACCAATGGCTTTGCTTAGTCAACCTTTAGTGGCATTCAGAAGAAGCTATCTGTGTTTATTACGTGTGAGGTTGGAACAAACATGCGCTGGTGTTTACATGAGGTGTGTTTCCACTGCAAGAACCTGTTTCAGGAACCAGGGTTGTTTTCCTGGGGATATTTCTGAGCCTCTATTGTTTCCACTAAGAACCAAAGCCGAACCAGATTACCAGGAAATCTACCCAGGTAAGTGGTCCCGATAGGGAGGCACATTTCCTGCTAAATTAAGTTCGACAGGAGTAGTTCAATGTTTTTCTTACATTCAAATTTTGTAATAAAATCTGTTTTTCAAACTTTCGTGGAAATTTCTCTTGTTGCGTCTCTTGTTGTACAGACTACAATTATTAAAATCTGTGAATGCACCAAATTTAAAGGGATTCTTCCAACATGTCAAAGTGTCAATGTGAAATGAAAACAATAAATGGAGATCTTGACAGCAAAACGTCGGCTTTTAAACCTTTTAGTGTGACGCTGAAGAGGAGTGCGGTGAATGTGCGGGGTTTCTGAAACCATACGTGAAAAAAACCTTGCATAAGTGCACATGGGGTCAGTACGACCTGTGGGTCCAAATGACCTCGTCTCTTAAAACCTCGGGAGGGTTAATCCCAACCAGAGCCGATTCTTTTCTCTTCTCTGCTCCAAAAGCATGTAAACAGGACGTCTACGGCACTTAAGGGTTTCAAAAGAGGTGTAAGGCGTCTTTAAAACATGTGGAGTGTAATGGACGAAACACAATTAATCAGTTAGGGACTTATTGTTGAAAATTCCCGCTTTTTTCATCACAATTGGAGCCTTTCTAATTACATGATTCGTCTTTACTTTTAGTGACACACTACCTAAAAGCCTCTAAGTCGAGTGGAAAATCTAGTAATTCAGATGTGACATGTTTTTTAAAAATTGGTAACACTTGCAAAGCTGTAGCTTTCATTAATCATGTGCTTTATTTAAACATAAGCACAAAAACAATCAGTCTTCCTGCAACACACACTTATATATAGCTGGTATAGCTTAGTTTTAAATCATGCCTGCAAAATTTCCTTTATTTGTTAATATTTGCTATGAGTTATGAAGTACAGTGAATCAGATCACCAACCTTTGTTTGGGATCTTTTTTCAGCAGGCCTGCCAGCAGGGCCTTGCCCTCCGGCGCCAGGGTCTTCGGGAAGCGGATCTCCTCCATGAGGATGAGCTCAAACAGACGCTCATGGTCCTGGTTGTAGAATGGTAACCGACCACACATCATCTCATACATCACCACTCCCAGTCCCCACCAGTCCACGGCGCGGCCATAGTCGTTGTCCTCCAGTACCTGATGGAGAGCAGACAAAAAAAAAGGGAACATTCAATTACGAAAGAAAACAAACGTTAAAAATAAAAGAAGAAGGAAGTAGCAATGAAGACCTTTTGTTCTCTGGTTACGTTGCCACTTTAAACATAATAGCTTCACATAAAGTTAAAGAGCAAATCTTAATTTAAAAATAGACATACACGTGAACGCTAACAGTTTATGAGTTCATGATACCTCACAAAGCAGAATATATAAATTCTTTTTTTTTAAATGACAGTAATGCAAGATATAAATGGGTTTAAATGATATGATGTTTACTCAGTGTTACTCTCTATGTATCATTTCTCCTTTTTCTTGGCTTTTCAGGTATCATATTTTTAAATGTCACCCTACCAACACGTTTCCGTTTTCTTTCCTGATCACCAGAACGACGAAGGCTTTACCTCTGGCGCCAGGTACTCTGGAGTTCCACAGAAGGTTTTCATGGTGGCACCGTCTGTAATTCCCTCCTTGCACAGCCCAAAGTCTGTTATCTTTATGTGGCCGTCTTTGTCCAACATCAGGTTCTCCAGCTGCGCATGAAAAGATCCAATTTAAAGTCAAATCACTTCAGCAGTATGGCTGGCAGAGAAATGGGAAGTCTAGATAGAGCTTTTCTCCTGCCCCATCTATATCTGTTTCTCTGATCTGCTGATTATGATTTTTAGGGTTTCTGATTTGACTTTCTGACGACTGTAACACTTTAGAGAAGATATATGCTGCAGGTTCTTAGATTCTACAGAAAATTAAGGAGAAGCAGGATTATTGCTAGAATAAAAACATATTTCCTTAACATATTCTCTGAGTTTTGTTAAAACTACAAAACTATATCTTAAAGCTTATGCTGTCAATGGGGCCATAAGTCCCAGTAAGGCTTATTTTATATGAAGAAAGATAAAAATAAGCAACCATAATGAGCTGATATTTATTTCCTGAAACTTGACCATTTCAGCTCACCGCCTGACTGATTAGTTTTAAATAGAGATGCACCAATGACTTTTAAACCAACAACTGTTCAAAGTTCAAACTGAAAGAGGAATAACTGAGCTTCAGCTTAAAATGCTGCAGTTTCACACTGCAAAACATTTCTCTCCGTCCCTCTTGAAACTCAACAGCAGTCCAGCCACTCTGAATAGCTTACATGTATTAATCACAATCTGTGCATCATTAAATCAAGACACTAATTACCTTTAAGTCCCTGTAAACGACATTGCGTGAGTGTAGATACTCCAGTGCTGATACTATTTCTGCACCATAGAACCGTGCTCTATCTTCTGTGAATATCCTGTCCCGGGATAAGTGAAAGAAGAGCTGCAAGAGAAATAACAATTTAAAAATAATAATAATAATCTACAAGTCAAGTGTCAGAATCTGCAATTTCAACATTTAACACCGTCTTAAAAACAGTAAAAGTAAACATGACATTTGCTAGATTTTTTTTTTACAGCACAACTGTAAACAGCTGACTACTTTTCATTTCAACCTCCACAACAGTAATATAGAGCTGCGATAACAAAAGGCAGAAAAGGAAGCCTTACTTCTCCTCCATTTGCATACTCCATCACGAAGCATAGCCGGTCGTGTGTTTGAAATGCATATTTTAGTGTCTGAAGAAGAGAGGAAAATGCATGACTGGGTTTGAGGGATAAAACAGTCTAATGCTTACAGACAAACAGCTCAAGTACAGGTGACCCACCGTTAGAAAAGGATGCCGTGTGTTTTGGAGAACTCTGCTCTCTGTAACTGTGTGAGCCACCTCATCCTACATGTACACACACACACACACACACACACACACACACACACACACACGAATTTAGTCCATGCAGTGACCGAAAAACAACATGCTACTTCTCTAACACAGTTTAGACCAACGGCATTAATGTGATAGGATTTACTTTAGCAATGATGACTTCTTTGCGGAGGATTTTCATGGCGTAGTACATCCCTGTAGCTTTCTCCTTAACCAAGATCACTTTTCCAAACGTCCCTTTGCCGAGCAGCTTCAGGTAATCAAAGTCACTCATGGTCTGGAGGAGAAAAGATGTATGTGTTTACCGTCCAGCTAGTCTGAACTACTTTCTGTTTTTTTTTTATGTATTTTCAACCAGAATCAATAAACTGGAGATTATGTCAAACACTGGATGATGTCCGATGGTTCTGTTCTAGTTGTGTGCTAGAATTATTATTATTTTTTTCATTCTAATATGTTTGCATTGGATGCAACATTTACAGAAAACTATTTGAGTAAAGGTTGGGGAAAAAGAGAGATTAAGAAATATTTAACAATATGTATAAGGCTAAGACAATCAGTCTATAAATAAAATCTATAAAATCAAAGTCAATTTCAGGTTAAGAATCGACGCAAAAAAAATAAAAAATAAAAGATAAAACATTTTGCTCCCTCGTTTTATTTAAAGAATGCCCCCACCACCACCAAAAAAAAAGGCTTTGAGAAAGAGGCTTACAGTTTGAACAACTTGCTCAATAAAGATGAGCTTAGCTGGACAAACACAGCAAGCGATTGGCTGCCAGGCACTGCTTGAGCAAATACTAACCACTTTTGAACGGGATTTGCACATAGCAATCTCCATCTCCTCTGCGCCGCTGCTGTCGCTGGGCGAGCCAAATTTTATCTCCATGGGCTCCTCGTCCTGCTGCTGACTCTTCAGGCTGTTTGCTACTGTCTGGATCACCTGCATCCATTCCTCCCTGACCCGGAAGGAAGCAGACATCGACCTCGTCAAGTCTAATCTTATCCCATGACTAAATGACTCGGTGAAATTAAATCAAGTGACTGTGGGCGACATACTTTTAAAAGTGAGATGAATGTTAAACTAAACAGTCCAAAAATTCAGGGTTAAGATGTGATCAACCAACCCAAGTTTGGAGGATAATCTTTGTGTTTTTCAGAGCGGAGCCTCTGGGATTTTCTACCCAATGACAATTTCTTCGGTTGGAGTTAAATAATCAGGTCTAATCTGGCACTGAATCCTATTTTAAGCAGGATGGATGTTCCTACTTCCATAAACTACAAGGATTCATCTCTACGTAACAAACAAAAACCAGTGTGTTAAAATTTGTGTCTTTCTATCTTTACTTCCTTTAAAAGAAGTCAAACTCATCAACAATCAAACATGTTAAACATAGTGCTGCAATGACACTGTAAACATGTGGTTTACGTTCTCATACATGTGGTGAGGAGCTCAGAAATGATGTTTGTCAGCTGTGTGTAATAACAGGCCATCTAGTCCGACAAATGTTTCACAGAGCTGACGTTTCCTTCTTTAAATGATTTCAGCTGACATACATGTATATATGCGAAATAATAACATGCAAATATTTAGCTCGTGTTTCAGCATGAGCGGTTTCAGTTTCAATTCATAGCAGAAATTGAAGAAATGTTTTTATATTTAACTTTTTTTTTCTTCCCCGCAGGTTCAGTGTGGTTAATTGTTTTGCATTATAAACTGTATTTTCAGTTGTTAAGAATTTTTTTTTTTTTTTTTTTTTTTTTTTACCCATTTTTTAAAGGTAAAATTTATGACGGGTTTTCCCCCCCCCGTT